TAGAAGGGTAGTCGGGTTCTCGAGCAACCGCGACCAGTTTGGACAATATTTGTCCAGAAAGTAGGCCAGGTTCATAGTCGTGGGCCGCAGCGCCACCTGGTTGCTGGGAGTTGGTCAGTTCCCTACTCTGTCCCTCCATTTTAACAACCGAACCAAAAATAGCCTAGTAGAGCTTCTGCAGATAGCTCAAGCTGCACCTTTTGGGCAGCAACTGCTAGCTTTGTAGCAGAAAAACACTAAATTAACCTTTGTGCGCACAGGTTTTAGCGTTTTAAAATTGCACGGACTGCCGTGACTAACGTCTAAAATACTATTCCTTTCAGTATTTTAGCAAAAGCTGGTGCGTTGCCGTAGCAACGTCTTACAACACTTGCAGTGTTAAATATGCTAGTTATTCCTTCAGAATATTAGCAAACAAGGTGTTATCAGTCTTTGAGTGAAGGTTTCAGTTAGTTATAATAGCCACTGTGAGTTAAAGTCGCTAAATTAGCAGTTAATTTTAGCCTAAAAGGGTTAGTCAGAATTACTTACACGCTGCACCTTTAATGAGGAACTGAATTTTAACCTAAAAGGTTAGCCAGAATTAATTACACGTTGCACCTTTAAGGAAAAACTGAATTTTAACCTAAAAGGTCAACCAGAATTAATTTACACGTTGCACCTTTAAAGAAGCACTGAGTTACTGGTGAGAGTTCGATGCAGCTTCCTGCTCAGCGAAATCAGCACCACTCTGTTGCTGGTTCAAGGCTGAACAACGGATTATTTTTAATTCAAGCTCTTTGGATTTATTTGTTTGTTTGTGCCGGATAGAAATCTCTGTGTATCCAAGCCTCACACGGGGCACCAATAAAATGTTGGGGTTATTAGGAGCGAACAATTCGCAAGCGTTAACTTACTTTTGGATTCTTCAATAAATTCTGTAAATATGTAAATATTTACTGATTTATTAATTAATTAAGATATTCTTAGATATACGGGGCACCATTCCCCTTTTTCCGGGGAAAAATTGAATCCAAAACTCTTATCAGTCTTTCTTGAAGTTCGTAGAATCCTTGGAGCAGAGACTTCTCTTCGACACAACAAAGCTACTGGAGACGAAAATCTGAATTTTATAACGTTTAATTAACAATTTGTCAAATGAATAAACAGTGGCATAAATGAATAATAACCATGTGATATAATAAAAGGATGTATATTCAAAATAATGTTCAAGGTGTTTTGTGTGTATGTAGGATGTAGGAATGGGGTCCTTTGTTCTCACAAAGGAGTAGTGTGTGTGCGTGTGTATGGATTCAAAATGGAGTCTTGAATACAAGATGGCTGACTCCTTTGTCTGGCTAAAGTGTGGGTGGCAACTTGCACTTTAACTTCCAAAGCACTTAGAATCAGTAGTAACTTAACCTTAAATCACTCAAAACATTTCAAAGGATCATGCAACAACACAAAAGATTAATCACGAGTTAATATCCTTAGTTTATCAGCCTGGCCATGGCCGAACATTTAAAGATACCAAACAATGATTAATAAGCAGTTTATTCTTCAAAATGACCCGACGGACGTGTTTGGGACGAAAGAGGAAAACACGAAGCTACTTTTTAAGCAATAGACGCGGTTTATTGCTTATTCGAGACTATAGAGGAAACGGGAGAAGGAAAGAATGAGAGAAAGAGATGAGTTTCTGATCACCAGAACAGTGAAGCGTCCCTCACTGTTTTGATTTGACGGTTCTCCGTGTTTCTCCGCAGCTTTCAGCGTCATCCGCCGGTTTGATGCTTTCTCCGTTGTTTGGCTCCACGAGTGTTTCTCCACGGCTGGACACAAAGAAAACGAAGTTCCTTTTGGGCTGAGTTTGACAACTTACAGCGTTTCTGAGAGCTGGATGGAGTTGTTGTTTCCCTCCGCAGTTCTGTGTCCTCAAACATCAGCTGGAGGGGAGCAGAAACGAGCAGATCAGCGGTCCCGTGGGCTCAACTTGGCTCTTAGAGCTTCCGCGTGCTCAAAGAAGTCGGAGCGTTCGACAAGCGTGTCCTCACCGCCAGGTATCCTGGGCAAAAGAACGAGGTTTCTTTGTCTCTGCTGAAGATTTATGGTCTTAGTTCGCGGGGAAAGCTCCACGGCTTCCCGCACATGCGCAGAACGTGTTTCTGGTACTAGGCGGTGACATCATCCCAATGCTTCCGTGTGCAAAGCATCATGGGAAATGAAGTTTCTTGGCGCTGATGTGGTTATTTGCTTTTCAGAGCAATTTAAGCACAGTCATTTTGGAGAAAATCACTGCATAGTAATTTCCTCATGAGGTCAGACCCTCAACATATGGCATCAAGCTGTGGGTGGTGTGCGATGTGGCCACTTCTTATGCCTGGGGGATTATTCCCTATCTGGGCAAGACGACTCGAGACGCCCCGGCAGAAAGGGGGCAAGGGAAGCGGGTGGTGCTGGAACTCACGGAGGGTCTGAGCGGCCGCACTGTCACCATGGACAATTTTTTCACCTCGCTGGTTCTTGGAGAGGAGCTGCTAAAAAAAAAATCTGTCTTGTGGGAACAGTTAGGCGCAACAAGCCAGAGTTGCCCCCACAGCTGCTCCAGATGAAAAGCAGAGCGGTTCTGTCCTCCCTGTTCGGCTTCACCTCCACCGCCACCGCGGTGAGCTACATTCCAAAGCGCCGGCGGAACGTTCTGCTCCTCAGCACCAAACACCATCAGGTTCAGATCCAGGAGGGACCGCAGCAGAAGCCGATCGTAATCATCGATTACAACCGCTGCAAAGGGGCAGTTGACAACTTGGACAAGGTAATTTATTTATTTTATTTTGTTTTATTATAATTCACCAACCTAATTGCATATGTAATTTATTTATTCATTTATTTTTATTCCAGCTCGTTGCAACATACAGCTGCCGCCACAAGACCAGACGTTGGCCCATGTCGCTCTTCTGCAACATGTTAGATGTGAGCGCCTACAATGCCCTGGTTCTGTGGCTGTCTGTGGAACCGGCCTGGAACCAACAGAAGAGGAGCATCCGTCGAAGGCTGTTCTTGCAGGAGCTTGGGACCTCCATGGTGAGACCAGCCCAGGCGAGGCGCACTCGCTTGCCGCGGTCCAGCAGCGCTGCAGCTCTGTTGGAGGTGCAGCAGCAAGTGGAGCCAGGTCCAGCCCAGGAGCAGACAAAGAAAAGATGCCACCTTTGCAGAGGGAAGAGGAGCGTGCATGCACGCTTTTGCCATGCATGTGGACAGGCTGTGTGCAAGGAGCACTCAACAGTTGTGTGCTCAGCCTGCAGCTGTTAGCTCACTCCCCTCTGTGTTTCTCTCTCTTTCTCTCTCTCTCTCTCTCTCTCTCTCTCTCTCACACACACACACACACACACACACACACACACACACACACACACACACACACACACACACACACACACACACACACACTTTTTCTTTGTTCGTGTGCTTTAATAAAGTGTTCAACTGGTCATCTTTGTAAGTGCATTTTTTTGTGCTCTAATGACTTTAACGTGAGTATTTTAGAAAATATGACATTACACAAAAACTACAAAGTGAGCAAAAAATATTTTTATGCCTATTTGTGACACTCCAAGGCTGTGACAACTTACCCACAAAAAAGGTCATCTGGACATAACACACAAAAAATGATTTGATTTTTTCATTTTTTGTACAGTTTTCAAACTTCGGGTTTTGCTAATAAACCTAGCAATAAAGGGGTTAAATCTGAGAAACACACACATATTTTATTATATTTTGTTAGGGCTGAAGCCAAGGATGAAATTCATGTAAAAAAATTGGGACTTATGAAATATTATATAATATTTCTATGGGAAGCTTTCTAAGTGCATTTTTTTGTGCTCTAATGACTTTAACGTGAGTATTTAAGAAAATGTGACATTACACAAAAACTACAAAGTGAACAAAAAATATTTTTATGCCTATTTGTGACACTCCAAGGCTGTGACAACTTACCCACAAAAAAGGTAATCTGGACATAACACACAAAAAATGATTTGATTTTTTCATTTTTTGTACAGTTTTCAAACTTTGGGTTTTGCTAATAAACCTAGCAATGAAGGGGTTAAATCTGAGAAACACACACATATTTTATTATATTTTGTTAGGGCTGAAGCCAAGGATGAAATTCATGTAAAAAAATTGGGACTTATGAAATATTATATAATATTTCTATGGGAAGCTTTCTAAGTGCATTTTTTTGTGCTCTAATGACTTTAACGTGAGTATTTAAGAAAATGTGACATTACACAAAAACTACAAAGTGAGCAAAAAATATTTTTATGCCTATTTGTGACACTCCAAGGCTGTGACAACTTACCCACAAAAAAGGTAATCTGGACATAACACACAAAAAATGATTTGATTTTTTCATTTTTTGTACAGTTTTCAAACTTTGGGTTTTGCTAATAAACCTAGCAATGAAGGGGTTAAATCTGAGAAACACACACATATTTTATTATATTTTGTTAGGGCTGAAGCCAAGGATGAAATTCATGTAAAAAAAATTGGGACTTATGAAATATTATATAATATTTCTATGGGAAGCTTTCTAAGTGCATTTTTTTGTGCTCTAATGACTTTAACGTGAGTATTTTAGAAAATGTGACATTACACAAAAACTACAAAGTGAGCAAAAAATATTTTTATGCCTATTTGTGACACTCCAAGGCTGTGACAACTTACCCACAAAAAAGTTAATCTGGACATAACACACAAAAAATGATTTGATTTTTTCATTTTTTGTACAGTTTTCAAACTCCGGGTTTTGCTAATAAACCTGGCAATGAAGGGGTTAAATCTGAGAAACACACACATATTTTATTATATTTTGTTAGGGCTGAAGCCAAGGATGAAATTCATGTAAAAAAATTGGGACTTATGAAATATTATATAATATTTCTAAAGGAAGCTTTCTAAGTGCATTTTTTTGTGCTCTAATGACTTTAACGTTAGAAAATTTAAACGTTGGGTAAGGGTTAAACCCTCAGTTCTGTGTCTTGTCGGTTCATTTTTTATGTCCAGCGCGTTTTATATTAAAAACCTTGCTAAACCATCCCTGCCTGCCTGCCTGCCTGCCTGCCTGCCTGCCTGCCGGCCTTCTTCCCCAGCGTGTGGATCCTCACCTCCGAGTCAACCCACCTGCGCGTTGTGACACTATCAGAGTGCTTTTCTGCTCCGTGTCCTGCAGTGAGGTGTCATGTTGAATACTTAAAAGCGTGGATGACTGAAAAACCATTTTTGAATGTTTTTTCTGATTATAATTGGTCACTCTGAGTTTTTCACACACACTAAACATGAAAATAGTCTCCTACACCTATCTCCTGCATTAGCTTCTGATAGCAAATAGCTGGTGAAACTCTAGGATTTGGAAATCCTCACAGATCTACGTTGCTCTGAGAATTAGCATTCATGGACTCACCATTCTTGCCTCATGACAAGAACGGCTGTTGTTGGTGTAACGTCTGGGAATCAGCAGAGAACGTCTCAGCTAGTTTAAGCTAACCATTAGCATTAGAAACACCACCACACAGCAGAAGCTCCCCCAGGCTTGTGTTATTTGTGGAAATAAAACATTCATGTTGCTAGTCAGTGGTAGAGTCGTGTTGTTGTTATCCAATCCGGGGTGAGATTTCCAAATATCAGGAAATAAGACTTTAAAACCTGCCATCAAAATCAAATTTATTTCTAAAGCACACTTAAAACAGCATGAGAGCCCACCAGTGCTGAACAAGAAAGGAATAACAACTAAAAAATAGACAAGGCAGAGCAGCAAGACTAAAAGCATAACGCATAATGCATAACACTAAAATAGGATGTAGTCATGGTAAACGATTAGTGGCTTATGGTCAAATATTTATATAAATCTAGGAAGCACTATAAAGTAAACCAGCTTCAAAATAACTGAAGCCCATCTAAACAAATATGTTTTGAGGCTGGACTTGAAACGTTGCGGAGGCCAAACTATAGAGAGAGGAAGAACATTCCAGAGCTTTGGAGCAGCTCAGGTTTGATGTGGGCAACTTTTAGGTTTGAGAAATGGTCCACCGGTGTATTTTCTCCTCCCAAGAATGACTTACAAAGCATTCATTCCTACTAGAGAGTAGGGATGCTCCAATCAGGTTTATTGCTGCCGATCACCGATCACCAATACCGATCGCATGGATTGGTGATAAACTTGAGCAACTTTACATCGAACAGCACTCTGGCCTTCTGCTGACCAGAGACTGCTCATAACAGTTTTGTGGTTCGGGTAGGAACACGAGTCAGAGGTCTCTACCTGCTATAGGGAGCCTAACCCCAAAATTCCACTACCTCCGCAGTGCGCCGCCCGCCGTTCCGCCATCCGGCAAAAATAGGATTGATTCTATTTTTGCCGGACGCCGGAGCACCTCCGCAGTCAATGGACAGAAATCACAACCGCCCAACAGGAAAGGGAGCAAGCACAACTTCCGTTATTTCACAATAAAAAAAACAAAAGGCGTTTTTTGTTTCTTTTGCACAGGTTTAACAACTTTTAACAACTATCAAATGGCGGCTGAACTTTAAATGCACAAAAATAAGGCATAAATACAGTTTCCACTATCAAAGTAGTCGCCCTTTGTTGATCCAAACACTGCTGATCTCTCAACACAAATGATGGGCAGATTAAACAGTTCATTTCGATGCTTCTCCCACACAACGGGTGTTTGGATCTAACTTCCGTGTTTATTGCTCGGACTGTATCACAAGATCTCGAAAATCCCGCGCATGCTTGTTTGTGCAACTCAGGTCTCCGCACCGGAGCGGAGCCGTTGTAGAGCGGGTACCAGTAAAATTGAGTTCGGAAGCGAGCGGCTGCGGAAAGCGGGGGCGGAGCGGAGATAGTGGAATTTTGGGGTTAGTCTCCTCCCTTTCCAGTCGGCTCATGGATCCCCTGAAGAATGAAAAAATGAATGCAAGTCAACAGGGCTAAAAGAGCTATTTTCTAATTCGCTTTGCCTCATGCCCTGGATCACACATATGTTGTACTTCTAACAAATCAAAAGTAATGAAGTATTTCGACCACACGTACTTTAAGATTCATCAGCTTGTAAAAGTTCGTAATTAGCATGAATAAAAATCGGACGTCGGTTTGTCACATATATGATGTCACCACATAATCTCCTCTCCCTAGCGTAGCTGCTACTTACCACATGACCAGATTTTTGGTAGTTCTTTCCTCCTGAAGGAAGGATTTGAAGTTTGCTGAACTTACAGCCATTTCCCCTCTGTTTTTCTCCGTGTCTGGTTCAGTGACGTCACTTTGGTGATGCACAGTTGTAGTCCTGGACTTATTTTCATACAAAACCTAAAATAACCCCACCCTGTTCGAAAATAAGCACTTTCTTGGTATCAAAATGCCTCTTTAAAATTCACAGACATCATATGTGAAATCCAAGGCACAAAACAAGCAGAATTAGAAAATAGAGTTTTTAGCTCCATTAACGTGCAACCCTGACTTGCAACCCTAACCCTAACCCTTCATTTTTTCTTTCTTCAGGGCACCCATGGTCCGGAAGTAAATGGGCATGACTTAGGCTCCCTATAGCTGTTTCCTGTGCCAGTAGCTAATAGAAAGACTAGCAGTTAGCTTTTTCATTTAACCCACTGTCAATAAAGACCTAGGAAGAAATCCATTCATCCATTTTCAACCGCTTATCTAGAGTCGGGTCACGTGGGCAGTAGCCTAAGTCGAGACGCCCAGACTTCCCTCTCCACAGCTACTTGGGCCAGCACTTCCGGGGGAATCCCAAAGCGATCTATGTCCAGCCAAGAGACATAGTTCCTCCAACATGTCCTGGGTCTTCCCTTGGGTCTCTTCCCAGATGGACGTGCCCAGAAAACCTCACCAGGGAAGGCATCCTGACCAGATTCCTGAGCCACCTCAACTGGCTCCTCTTAATGTGGAGGAGCAGCGGGTCTACTCTGAGCCCCTCCCGGATGGCCGAGCTTCTCACTCTATCTCTAAGGGAGAGCCCAGCCACCCAGCAGAGAAAACTCATTTCAGCCACTTGTATCCACCATCTTCTTCTTTCGGTCACTACCCAAAGCTCATGACCGTAGTTGAGGGTAGGTATGTAGATCGACCAGTAAATCGAGAGCTGTACCTTCTGGCTCAGCTTTCATTTCACCATGACAGATCGGTACAGCGCTCGCATCACTGCAGATGCAGCACCAATCCTCTTATTGATCTCATGCTCCATCTTTCCCTCACTCGTGAACAAGACCCCGAGATACTTAAAGTCCTCCACTTGAGGCAGGATCTTGTCCACGACCCGGAGAAGACATTCCGATTTGAGACCATGGTCTCGGATTTTGAGGAGCTGATTCTCATCCCAGCCGCTTCACACTGGGTTGCGAACCGCTCCAGAGAAAGCTGGAGATCACGTTCTGATGAAGCCAACGGGACCACATCATTTGCAAAAGGCAGAGACTCGATCCATAGGTCGCCTAGGAAGAAAGTTAACGTCCCATAGTCATCATCACACATTGGTGAAATGCGTCTCTGCATTTGACCCATCCCTGCAGGGAGCATTGAGCTGCAGCTCTGGCTGTGTTTGGGAACTATTTGGTGGTTTAATCCCCCTATCTAACTATTAAAGCTGAGTGTCAAGCAGGGAGGCATTGGGTCCCATTTTCTAAGTCTTTTATATAACCCGACTGATTATGAACCCTGCTCTCCCAGTCCCAGGGCCACTTGGCCACTGAGCTGAAGAAGAATTTTGCTGTTTTAATAGCAGCATCACAGAGTCTGGAAGTAAAAGTAAGAGTATTGTCTTTGGAGGTGAAGCAAAGAGCTAATAGTGAACATCAGCACAGCTTACACTTATTTGTTTGCGCTAACAACAACGTGGCTACAAAATCTCTTGCTGATGGTGATTTGATGGTAGCTAGAAATCCGGAAAAAATCCAAATGCTGGTTGTGTATGCAAGCCTTGAGAATAAATCCTGTTGTGCTTTGTTAAACTCATGCTGATTGGTTAGGTCAGTCAGTAGGTAATGACATCAGCAGATGTTGTCCAAAACAATCGGCATTAGTAAAAACGAAAACAAACAAATAAACGAAGAGTTGCTTGTGAAGCAGAATGGAAGCTCAAGCAGTTAAGCACCAACCGTGCTGCTTTAAAATTGCCACCACCAAAAAACAGCAGAATTCACCACAAGAACGTCATTCATGGTGCTTTGTTATCCCACAGAGCGTCGTAAAAAACAGAGCTTCTTCTGGTCAGTGAATGCCACATTTTACATCATGCAGTTGCTCTGGTCCTCAAAAGGGATTTTGCTGTACTTGACAGAATAAAACTTTTATGTTAATAAATGTTACTGTGGACACTTTTTGGCGCTGATCAGTGGCATCACTCACTACCGAAGCTGCAGCGATACGCTGATGTCTGTGCAAAGTCCTTAAAACCCTGAATCTGTATGGAGACACAACAGCTGAGAGCACCAAGCTTTCTTATCTCCCAGTTGATCTCCCCCTCCCAGAATTTCGCCTGAAGTTCTGACAATGGAGACACGCCTGTAGAGACAAGCAGGACTCAGCCTTTAGTGCATTAATAACAGGACCCTTGGAGCAAGGTCACTAATCATTTTGTTTCTGTCTTACCGTGCTACTGAATAGCTCTTCACTTTTAGTAATTCACTAGAAACTCTCTTTTTACCATTTAAAACATGTGTTATATGATTCTTATTCTCCAGTTTTACGTGGCATTTAGTCTTTCTACCATCGTTATATTTTTGTCTTTGGAAATTCAATGTCTAACAAGCAGGAGACATCTGTTACTTTGAATTTAAATGTAATTTTGTGTCATCTGTGTTGAACATAAATCCTAAACTGAGGCTTCGGTACTGAAGAAAAAAGGGATTTCTCTTCTATTTTCTTGTTTTCTTTTTCATGATCTAAAGTCAGTTGCACACACACTCACACACACACACACACACACACACTCACACACACACGTAGGAGGTAGCATTCTATTTTTTGCTGTACTAACCAACAAAGTGAACACTGCAATTTCCACCCTCCTCTCCAGCCTTCTCCTCCTCCACTTTTCTCCCCCTCCTCTTCCTTCTTCCTCCACAGGTAGTACATCTCCTAGCTGGCTGGACATCTGTTGTCTAGCAACTCCTGCACCAATCAGAGCGTCAGGCCTTCCGTCTCCTCTGCAGTGGAACCAGCCTTGCATGCAAATGGCAGACATCCGAGAGTTCTCATGAAACCATCAAACTCTACAGAACACTAGTAAAGTTTTATATTTAAATGTCTGCTTTAGAGGCTAAAAGCTACACAGACAGTCCCAAATCAATGTCTAAGCTTTAGTGGAAATCTTTAGGCTCTACATATTCCTAATAAATTCAGCTGTCAGCATCATTGGTGCTCATGAGCCAAAAAAGAGAAAAATTTGCTGATGGCTGACTTCTTATAAAATTAGCTTATTATTATCACAAACTACTGGATTGCACAAACATGTGAGTGACTTTCCTAATTGCAAGGCAGATGTAAAAAAAAATGCTAAATCCATGTTTCCACTAAAGGAGTTTGGGGAATTGCTGGGAGGGGAAAAACTGACCGGGAGATACGATGGTTCGGTCGTCTTAGCCGCGGTGTCTCTATGCCTATTCTGCCCTCTGAGAAGTTTATATAATGCAAATGCTTTAGCAGTGAGTGATGACAATGCTGATGCAGGATTTAGGAAACACGTCCGCCTCTTTTCTTAACTTGAAAAAAATCATTCTAAATAAAACTTCCTAACTGAGTCCGTGTCGCTGACATTTTACAGAGATCGTCTCTGCTGCGGCTGCCCGGTGGCACCGGAAACTTAACAAAAGTAGAGGTAAGCTATATTTTTATCATTTATGTAACATCTGAGCAGCGCTGAAAGCACCAGACAGAATACGTTTTGCCCTAACAGTAGTTTATGAAAGCAGTCAGACAAACGAGAGGCAGCTGGCTGCAGCTGTGAAAATGCTCCGTGTTCTCACTACTCTGTAAACAATCACAAACAACGTGTCTTAAAGTAACAGAAACAACCTAAAATCTTTCTGATAATTTTCTAAACAACTCTCTCTCTGTTTATTATATGTTTCTGAGACAAGTCACTGTCTAAACGTTACTATCGCTAAGCAGCGAGGTGTGCTGAAGCTGCCATCAGCTGATGGGGAGCTAAAGCGGCGGATGTTTAAGCGCATCAGGGTTAGCGAAGAACGAGAAAGTTGTGATTCATGCTGGAGATCACATCATATTCGCTGAGGCATGAATC